GGTGGGACTGAAGTAGCCCTTCCTAGATAGCTTTTATCCTATTGAGGAATTGCAACCTCAACTCCAGAATCTTTGAAGTCCCGTGGGACCACCTGACCTTTCTTTCAGATACAACTTTGACTACAGAGGTTATGGGAAATTAATCTCCCAAATACCTTCTTTTTTTTGTCACCTTCTGTGGTTGCAAAGATCTCTATTTCATGCCTGGTTTTGCCGTGTTTTAGTATCATCAATAATAATTTGTAGTGTAACATATAACATTAGGTTCCTGTTTAAAGTGACACTGTGCGTTGGCTTCACACCATTTTTGAGCCAGAAGCATTCTGTGGCTCCCTTTCCTCTCTGGCTTAATGGTACTTGTCTGAGCTGTCAAAACCAAAATAAGATTTGAGGCTGTTTTCAGTAACTCCTTAAAACTGTGTAAGTTTTCATTCAGCTCTGATTTTGCTCAGTCTTTTGTATTCTTAGAAACTTGAACGCTTTTTAGGAGTGGGTGGTTTTTTTTATTACCCAGATGGGGTGGCTGTAGTGAAATCGTCTACAGCCTGGTGATCCTATAGAAAAACTGGTTGCATAGTTTTGGTCTGCTTCCCAAATTCAAAGGTCTGTTGCTTTTTTTTAGAGCCATCAGTAATGAAATACATATCTTTTCTCTTGATACCATTGATTTGTCCCAAAAAGCTGAGGCTGTGGTCGTTGGGTCTTTTGTTTTGTTTTTGTGTCCTATATTTGCTTTAGGCCACTGTCTTGTTGAGGAAGACTTTTTGCAGCTATAGTTAATTTAAAAAAAAAAAAAAAAAACCCCAAACAAACAACAACAAAAAAAAACCCCAAAAAAACCCTGGTTTAGATGTGTGAGTTCTTTGGGGAAAAAAAAAAAAAATCAAGAAACCATATTTTAGAAGGAGGTCCTTTGACTGCCTGTGTACTGGAGACCATGGGAAAGGGGAGGATGACCCTGCCTGTTAGGAAACTTCCTGATCCTAGTGTATTTGCCTGTGTCCTGGAGAGGGATGAACAAAATCCACAGCCTCTGTTTAGAGGCTGTCCTTGTCCTTTAAGTAATAAATTTATATGCAAAAACTATGTTGTGGAAGACTAAAATAAATGATACTTGACTTTCTTAGGTTATTGATGTATGTGTTTGTATGGTTTAGGGTTTTATTGATTTGGTTTTGTACAGCTTTTTTCCCCCCTCACAACAAGACTTTTCTTAATTTATAGTTTTCACAGATGAGAGCCCAAAACCTGGGAGGTTCAGACAGCTTTTGAGGTCTGTTTTAACAGCCAGAGAATTTCTTTACTCAAATTCATAGGGATTTACTACACTTTCCAGTATAAAAGGACTAAGACTTTTCATATGTGATGTAAATCTGAATGGTACTCTTTAATCAGTCTGGTAAATGCTTCTGGATAAATCTGGCTTTGTGAATATCTTATGCGATGACAGCATTAATCATGTTTGTGCTTCAGTTGTTGATTGGTGCTTCTGAATGTTACTGAAATGCAAATAATGCTCAGAAAGTGTGTTAATAGATTTAATAAATTTAGAACCAGGTAAATGAAACTTGAGTTTTCATTTTTGAGAGTACTGTTGCAATGAAATGCTAAATTCCTCAATGAGAGGTGCCGAATGCAGTTGAGCTGTATTTTGACGTTTGAGGAAATGTGCCTATAAAACTACTGTAATAGAATTATAAAAGGCAGGATAATTATAAAGAGTAGTGGTATAATTAGTAAAGGGTTAAAACAGCAATGTGGACATTTACATTGAAATAAAAACGTCCCTTGGAAGCTGTGATTGTGTTGGTGAACTTAACAGTATAGATAAACCCAAAGTCATAAGTGATCCATGCATGGTGTTATATTATTTAATGGTGGAGCCCTTTAGCAGGAATTTCTAAGTATGTGGAGGTGTAAGTATATTCTGTTTTTTTCTTGAATAGGAAGATGGTGTTCATCTCTTCCTTTTCTCCCTCTGTTCCTAAAGGACTTGTCAGTATGAGTCTGATGTAGAAAGTATTGAGAGCAAATCACATCTGAAGATGTATTAAAGATCACATGGTGCTGATGAGTGGGGCATCTCTTGCTCTCTTCTAGGTTATCTGTTGGCATTAGCAGCTGTGATATTCACTGGGAAAGGAATCCTTTTTGTTGGTTCTAGCTTTTGATACCATCTCTTGAAAGCAGTGTTTGTGTATTTGGAGGAGGAATAGAGGCTGAAGAAGCACACTTTGCAGTCTTCAAGTTTGTCATTTGGCTGGTGTTAGAAGATAAAAGGCAGCAGTAGATGGAGGCAAAGGTTTTCTTGCTCATTAGGCTGCTAGGCTCAGATAATGATTTTTCACAAGAACGTTTGCTAGGCTTCACTAACTGACTTTTGATTTCGCTTGGGAAGGACCTCTGTTGTCATCTATATCAATACATTTTGCAGCAGAAGCAAGTATTTTTCCTAATGCTTAGTATTCTTCTGTGGTCACATTTCTTCTTACCTTTGCTATCATAATTTGTTAGGCAGAAGTGTCTCAGCACAGATACTACGCACCCTCCCCAAACTGGACTTACGAAAGATCGGTTTCCTTCTTTGTACAGAGATGCCTTTTTCCAGCTGAAAATGTAGCTATCGTACCTGTTAGTTGTCAGAAACACTACTGTATTTAATGTTTTTCCTCCAGATTGTTGCATACCACTATTCATCTACAGTTGGACTTCATGGTAGACTTCGTTTACATGTACTGCTCTTGAACTGTAGCACACCACAGAGTATAGTTGAGTCCTCGTTTACGAAGAGACCAAGACTGAATTTAGTGGAAGTCTTTAATTTAGTTTCTGTTTTAATGCTCTTTATTATGACTGTTACAAAAATGGGAATGGGGTTTAATTAGAGTATATAGAGCCGTAAAATGAATTGATTGAGAAATAGAAAGAGGGAAATTTAAGAGTGAGTTTGTCATTAAGTGTTTACGTGATAGTGCAGATCTTCACACGGTAGCTGTCTTCTGGAAGAAGTTCAGGTGGGATGCTTAACAAGAAAGTTTTGGGGTTTGGGTTTTTTTTTTTCTCTCCTTTTTAAATGTATGTTATCAGGCAAGCTCTATGAAGGAAAAAAAAGCGCCTAGTGTTGTCTAGTACAGGTTTAGCTGCAAGATTTCCAAGGGTTTTTTTGGAGGTACTGTGTAAAAATGTCTATGCATTTCTACATATAGCCAAATGCAGTGAATAGGGTTTTCCCTAGCAAATTTTAAGTCTCTGGTTTGTTTTCTGAAGGCTGTGTCTGGTAACTTCCTAAAGAATTTTGTCAGTATGCATTCTGGTAGCCAAACTGTTCAGTTCCAGCTGTGTTAAAGAGCTATGATAAAGTTTGCTGGCCCAGTAAAATAGACATTTAAGCCTTGAGGTTAAAACCAATCCCTGGCAGCAAGAAAATTCCTTGTCCACTGAAATTATCTCAATTCTTTTTCTTTATATTGAGGCAGTAGTTCAGCCAGCTTTTCCTCAGTATGATTCTGTTACACTGTGTCGATAATCTTACTATCCTTCTGTGACAATTTGTAAAAGGTTCTAAAACCTGTAGATTTCTGGATGATAGTTCTGGTAAGATGGTTGAGCCAGTACCTCTTTTAGTCACTGGCCTCTAGTGTTTTCCTCTAATACCTCAATCTTCTGAATCTTTGTAAGTAACTTAGTTACTAATCATCTGGCCATAAATATTTCTGTGGCTTTAAGTAGCTGGATAACATAGGTGTCTTACAGAAATCCGGTATTTTGCTACTCTTAACTGATTAAAAACAGAATTTCTACAAAAGACACTATTTCAAAACATCTGTTAGTTTGTTGCAAATTTCTTCCTCCAGATTGAAATGCCTGTTACCTGATGCCGGTTATCTGCTATAAGCAGAGCATTAATGCTCTTTTTTTAATAACAGTAAAAAGAAAAGGCACAATTTATTTGTGAGGAAGCAGTAGGGAGGAGGATGAATTAAAACCAAGTAAATGAATTACTAATGCATAAATGCAATTGTAAAATAATTGTGTAAATCAGTGACGGATTTTTTCCTGCAAGTTATACAGAGTGAAACACAACTGTCTACAAAAGCATTAGTATCTTTGTTATAATTATTTATGCAAAAGGCATTGAGACTACAGATAAAAACTAGTATGTGCTTTGCTGGCCATTTATGTACTGTAAAATTTCAGCTCTACTTGTGACCCCATTTACTACTGGCCTGTTGAGCCAGATGTGTTGTGACTGTTTTTTTTGTTACATGGAACAGTAAAAATAGTAGCCTGGGTCCTCTGGATCATCACTGAGGGTTTTTTGAACTCTGATTTTTAAATAAAGGTTTAACATCTTTCCCCCACCCCCATTCCAAAAATGGCAGTTTTCTGGTTGGTTTTTGTTGTTGTTGTTGTTTTAACTTTGGTTCTTGGAGGATGTTTGTGTAATGCCATTTTTTGCTGTAGAGTTCCAAACATGTTGCAGATTTTATTTATTAGGAAATATAATCTTAATTGGGGGTGTATTTGAAAATACTCTATTTCTAGGGTCGCATAGCTGTGTGTGTATTTATCCATGTGTATGTATGCCTATGTAAATACATAGGTATATAAGTGTGTAGAGTCCAGCTCTTAAAATTGACTTGTCCTTAGCAATTTATCAGCTTTACAATTCCGTCTTTGATTCCAGATGTGGTTGTAAGTTGTAGGACAATACTTCACCTGTGGATATCTGTATTTGCAACAGTTCCCTGTACTAGTGCTAATGAACTGCTTTTCTTTCTTCCTAATGCAAATGCAGATCACCATCTTTCCTTCCTCCCCGCCCCCCCGTTTTTTTTTTTTTCTTTTTGTTAAAATCTGTGTCTTGGAAACAGTTTCCCAGTAAGTTCTAATCATGTTTATGTTTTGCTTCCAGTAGGAATTGGAACTGAAATTATTATCCACTTCTCCAAGCCTTTTGAAAAGTGACTAAATGCAACTGAGTCAGATTGTCTGTGGGAATGAAGTGGCTGGGAGAATCCAAGAACATGGTGGTGAATGGCAGGAGAAGTGGAAGCAAGTCGTCTAATGACCATGCGCAGAATCAGACCAAACTGCAGCATGCAGGAAAGGAGAATCCGAAGACAGGCAAAAATGGAGTTGAGAGAAGATCAAGCAGATGTATGTACATGTTTATGCGGCTTGGTGCAATATGTGATTCATCTATCAATTTGCAAGTCAGGCTTCTGCCTTGTATTAATTCATGAAGGAGGTCTGCATTCAGCATGTAGCTATCATCAGAAGTATTAATTATGTTTGTATTTGTTGGATGTGTTAACTCACTTCAGGAATATAGATCTCTTCAGGTCAGTTTAAAAGTTAAGTGGGAATAATTGGATGTAAATTAATTTTGAACTGGTATAAGTATAAAATACGTGATTGGCACTAAGTAAGAACTAGTGTGATTGGAAGTGGATAACTTATAATTTGAATTACTAGCCCAACTTTTAGTGAGTGCACATGTAGAAGTAAACCCCATTTTGAATGAAGTCACATATATCAATAGTCATTAAGTTTTAAGGAATGTGGATTTTTATTTCCGCTATTGGTCTGGGATGAAGGACTAAATACAAATTTAGAGTAAGTCCTTTATTCAGATTTTGGGAAAATCAGGTTTGAAATTTTCATGGCTTCAACATGTTTATAGGTCAGAAATTTTAGAGGCAGGCATGACTGAACTGTGTAGTCTGGAAAGATGCTTGTAGTTGGGGAGTGGAAGAGAGAAGGAAACGAAAATTAGTTAAAGACACCCATAAAATATATTCTGAAATACTTTCTCCATTGCCTGCTACATAAATAAAGAAAAGCGAGAGTGAAAAATTAACTGTGCGCCTGCTTCTTCAGATATTTTATCATCTTACTTAATTGTTCTGTATTTTTTTACTCCAACCTGTGGCTGTCTGTCCCTGAGCATAGCTGGGCTTTATAACATTCCTTAAATTATATCTAATTTATGCTCTCTTATTTGCAGGTAGCGGTGCTTCAGGATTTGAGGGTCAAAGTCGTTATGTGCCTTCCTCTGGAATGTCTGCCAAGGAACTGTGTGAAAACGATGACCTAGCAACTAGTTTGGTTCTTGATCCCTATTTAGGTTTTCAGACACACAAAATGAATACTAGGTAACTTGTCTTTATTTTTCTAGAAAAGAGTTGATCATCTTAGTTGATGTAATCAGAGCAAAACTGTGGAATTTCTTCCATGTTTATGAAAGTCTGAAAAAATAGCAGTTTGTGAGTAGCTTCCGCCTTTAAAATAGTGTTGCATGTGGGACCAGAACTTGGAGTTCTGTAGCAGCATATGTTTGTAACGCTATCATAGGTCTCTCTATTAGCCCTCGTGTGTTTTTTGCTGTAGAACAGGTTGTTAATAGACACTGCTTCCTAGCTTAAACAGTTAACTAGTCGTAAGTTTTAAACCATTAGTCATTTGAAATATTTCAAAGACAGAAGTTAGTGTTTGGGGACTTTTCTGTTTATTTCATGTGCCTGCTTTTTTTTCTTTTTCCTTTTTTTTTTCCTTACTCTTATGACATCGCAAGAAAGATACAGTTCCAGAGCACTTCAGTGTTGGTGCCACTTGATCTTACGTTCTTGCAGACCCATGCTGAAGGAATACTACTCAGACATGTCTGTATGCATAAGATAAATTGATGTGCACACTGGGAACTTGCTTACCAGAATTGCACATACTTTTGCACTGTTATGCACTTGTCTGAATACTTCTGGTCTAAATTCAGTGTGGTCTTAGGGTTTAGTTGTTGCATGCTTCTTCCTGTTCTACAGATGTACCACTGATTATAAGTATATTCTATAGATCTCTATTAAGCTTTTGTTTGCATACAAGATCTGCATTGCTAGCTTAATGGAGAAGCTATATATAAAAATGATAAGTTTCTAAGGACAGGAATTGTGTGCTTATTATTGTACAATAATAAGAGCTGGGGTTTCCAGGTAGCACATCCTGGGAAACAGGCTACTCAAACTGTTCCTGTGGCTATTTTTAAAGAAGAACAGTTTACCTGTGCAGCACAGTCACATAACCAGAGTATCAATTAAGTAGATTTTTGTGTGTATGTAACAAGCTGATTACTTCAAAAATGGCTGGTAGATTAATTGACGTTGTCACATAACGTAAATGGTTGCTGGTATAACCTGACAGCATGAGTTGCACATGAAATTGCAGCAGTGTGGTCCTAATAACTGTAAAGACTTACTCCAAAGAGATTTTTCATTTTCACTGGAGTGTGCAACATCTATCTTTAAGAGGAATGCTTGAGTTCTTCCTGTTCCCTCAATGCTATTGGTTACAATAGCACATTGTGCCCAAAACAGTGTCTAGGTAGATACTCTTACAGTTCAGTTTGGAGTGTCTTTGTATTTCCAGCAGTTAATCGAGCTAAATATGTACGCTCAAAAGATTGTTTTGTTGCATGAATGGTAGTCTACAGGTTATTCACAGGTAGTTAATTCTTATGCTTTTTGCTAAGGAAATTATGTATTCATTATTTAATAGTTGAAGAAGCTACTTTCAAAAATGTTGTTTTCTGCTGCTATGTTTTCAACACCTAAAATACTTTTTTAATTACTAATTTGATTCAAAAGACTACACAAAGGCTATCATCATGTATTTCTTCCTTTCTCAGACTTGGAGAACAGTTACAGGCAGTCTTCAAGGACAATAGTTAATAATCTTGGAGCACTATGGGAAATACTTAGGTGAGGCTTACAACTTCTACCAGAAACACATCTTCTTGCCTCTTTTGTAATATCCTATTGAGAGAGTTTCTATTGTTGCAATGAATTAAAAGAAAGGCATCAGCATAGTTCTTGTTTATCTTTTTGGTACCGTGATGACATCTGCTTGTTATTGTAGCTGTGACGCTTAGATCATCTTCCTTCCATCTAGTAAGCTGTAGTCTTTCTCGAGCTCCTGAGATTTATTGTTGTATGGCTTTGAGGGAAGGTGGGGGGAAAGCAAATATGAAAAGACTAGACCATTTTCCAAATACCAGGTGCCAGTACCTAAACACATGATTGTAGTAGAAATTAAGATTTACAGCTTATGTTTGGGCATCTTCAATGTGATGAAGTCATATTAGTTACATAGTTTGTGTATTGAGGTGCGCTTAAAATAAAACAGCCGTTTATGATGGCAAGCAAATATTTCCTGTTCCTTGTTCTGATTTGTTTGAAGATGTACTGTGGAAGTGACTGTGCCAGCATTCTCTTTGCTGTTGGAAACACATAAGAGGTTTGTATTTTTACAACTAGCAGCCCAGCATGAGTTGATGACCGCTTACTGAAGTTGTACTTTACCTTACATCTGGAAGCCAAGTCTGTATTTTTCTATGTATAAGTGTCTTCTATATAAGCACTTTCTGTACTTCATTCATTCCTTTACTTGAAGAGTTTGTAAAGACCTCTTGTTTTAACCTGAATATATTGATTAGAGGAAAAAAAAAAACTCATAACATTCTAGTAAAATATCTAGATTGTTGTTGGAACATCTTTGTTTTCCATCTTCTTTATACTGAATTACTGATCTTATGGTAGAGCGGTGACAAGAACCGTTATTTTTCTGGGGTTTTTTTCTTTCCCAGGGGCCATAAAAATAAAATCCTGCAATTCCTGAATGCCCTCCGTCTTGGGAATTGTTAGCTCTGTAAGCTGTCAAGTCAGTAATGTCTGAAAGAGCTGAAGACTGGTTCTCAAAAGATTACAATAGGATCCCCCAATGAGTTTGTCCAGTGTTCCTCTGAAATACCTTCTTGTCACCAGGGATTTGATGGACAGCATAAAGTTTAGCTCTGGAAATGTCTTCAGTGGCTTTACCCAAAAGTAACTTTTTCATCCTCTTGGATTTCCAAGAGAAAGCAGGTTGTTTTCAGAGCTTCTGGCCCTCTTTACAGGCCTGTGGTCATTCTTTCATCAAATTGATAGCTCTTATCTTGACAAAATAGCAGGTTAGCAGTTAATTAAAAAAAAAAAACACACATATGATAGGAAGTGTAATCTTGTCAAGTATAGCTGTTCTAAGAGGTTTTGTTATATCGGACTTTTTTTTTGTGCCAAAGGCTATCCTGGCTGTAAGATTTACTTAGTCTTGCATGCCTGTCCTTTTTGTAAAAACAAAACTGATTTTGCAAGCTATTACTTCCTGGGTTGAAGGTTGTCTAACACTACAGATTAAAACTGACACTTGTAAAAAGCCAAGTGAATTCTTGCTTATCTTACCATCTCTTATTTTCAGATGCTTTTCCCTAGGCTGAGTGCTGAATCTTGAAGTTGCATGCCTTAATGGCTGATCTGCTCTTTACTATCTTGCACACAAATGTGTTAGTATTTAAATCTTAAGCCAGACTGCTGATCATACTGCTGCTGTTACCAGCCACTGTTGTTTCCTGGTTCCCTAAAGCATCAGCATCATGCTGGGGAATACTGAGAGCAGTTCCAATGTCTTTCTAAGTTTGCAAGTGATTTAGGAAGTCAAACGCATTGTAGTCTGTTTTAGGATAATCTAGGGATGTTTCGTAACTCCATATTGCTGCTTTCAGTGAAGTTACAAATTGGTGTGTGGTGCAGGTGGTTTTATCTAATAACGTGAGACTAAAGGACCGAGCTTTAAGAATTTCCATGTTTTCCATAGCAAACGTGAAGTGTTTGGGGATCATGTACGGGAAGCTGCTTTCTCTTGACACTGCAGCAAGAGCAATTGCTGGCCTTGGTGTAAACAGTCAGTGATTCCTGAACTTCACAGGGTATGTCAGTCTTTGTCCCTTAGAGTCACCGTTGAGCAATAAAGACAAAAAAGGCAAAGCAGTTCCGTATCACTTACATTCATGGGTCTGTGCTGAATCTCTTCTGTGCTCCTTAGCTCATTTCAATATAATAATTAAAGGGCTCAGTATTCATCTTGAATGGGGTTTGGGGGTAGAACAAGTCATATGGCTTCTGCTAAATAAGGTTACGTGGCCGTATAGTTCTACTTCAGTGTTGTAGCGCTATGGAGATACTGGATTAGAGGTACACAGCTCTTATGTAGTGACACCCTGTTTCAAAATGAAGCTTTTACATTCTTCAGACCTTAGTGTCTGTGTACTTTCTAAAATGATTTTGTTTGACTTTGTGTGAAATCTGCTTTCTCCTTTTTTTTTTAATTTTTGCTGATAACTTAATTCAGTAAAGCCCTTTAGCTTGCTCCTGGTTGTCTTCCTTCACTATGTGTAAATCACACACAGTGATTACATTGGAAGTAACTGTTTTGCTACTGCTGTATGTTTTGGGTTTAAATCACAACCAAAAAACCCCACCAAACAACCAAACCGCCCCCCCGCAAACCAACACCCACCACCTTACTTTTACACAGGTGTTTCTAGTTGCACCTTTAACTTTAATAAAAAGTGTTATATCTCCAAAAGATGGAATGGCTTGCATTTAGTAGTCATGGTAAGTGCTAAATTAAATTTACCATGTGAGTGTCAGAATAGGAATGAAGGAAATTGTTGGGGGGGTTTTTTGTGTCCCCCATATTTATTTAAAAAAAACATTTATTTGCTAACCATATTAAGGAGGGTGAAATTATGTGGCTGTTAGAATTTTCTTTACTTCTATTCTAGGCTGTACTGCAGTTTTGACCACACTGGTGCACGTATAGTTTCAGTTCAAGAAATTTAAGTAATGTGGATTACTTTCTTCATTAAAAATGCCGTTTTGAACTTTGGCCTTTAAAGAACATGGGGGTTTTTTTCCAGATAACAACACTGGAGAATAAACACAGAACAAGTTGATTTTTATATAACTAGCTTTTAATTAAGATACTCATACTACAGGGTTGGGCGGGGGGGAAGCCAAAATGTATGTTAACCAAATAAATTGTTTCCACTTATTATATACATAGATGATTTTCAACTCTTGTTGTGCTGTCTTGAATGCTTAACAGCCTTGCAGTTTTAGCTTTTGTGCTGGATCTCTGGTATTAGATGAACAGTAACTTGCTGTCTTTCCAAAGCCACTTAAATAAAAATATCATCCAGACAAAGTGCCTGTTGTTAAGAGGCTAATGGGGTGCTGTGTCTTGATAAATTCACTCTTCTTGATGTTCCCTAGTCAGAAGTTAAGAAATAGGTTTAGAAGTATAACTCTTTATCATGCACTGGTACACTCTGTGGAGTTCCATACTGGATCTCTTGCAGGATCAATTTATCCTTTTTGTTCAAACTCACTGCTCTCAGTGACTGAGACTGAGCAAGGTACTGTGCTTCTGAACTTACCAGAAACTCTCCTTTAACTTCCTTTATAGGCAAGCATCTCACTGACCTTTGGCTTTATACCTTGGAGTTTCAAGATTCTTTAAGTATTCCCGAGGTAAGAGAAACTTGAGAGAGAGAAAGAGCTTTGCTTCCCCAAGCCATTTTCCTACGTCTTCCTTATTGAGACCACCTCAATTTGCCCTTAACTGGGATAAGATCATCTTCCAGCTGATTTTGAAATTGCAATAGCCATAGCTTTTTTGGATCTTGTTGAGTAGGGAAAAATAAATATTTCCTAGGGAAGTGTGAAAAGTTTCTATTCTGCAGCTTGTCAGGAAAAAGGGCTATTATTTCTTTAAAGATACTGTGATAGCCGAGTTTTTCATTCTTAGCTTACTTTTAACAACAGACTGTTTTGCGGCAGACTCCATGTTCTGTGAGACCTGACCCCTGAAGCTGTTTGTAGGGTGGCTCAAGGAGTCTGTGCCTGTGAGCAGATTCAAACACCAGAGTGTCTTGTTCAGTTTCCATGATGGAATCTAATAAAGGTACTGTAAACCAGAAGTCTGGATAAACAATTCTGATTTTAATTGACTCTCTGTTTAGAGACTGGGTTGGCTGGTTTATTTTGTTGGTTTTCTTGTGCTCTTTCTATCTCTCTGTTTCTCTTCTTTGAACTAGTCTCCTATTTTACTCACACTTAAAAGCCAGTTTCTTTGGCTCGGTTTAGCTGTGGGGTCTTTTCAGGCTCTCTTCATGGTGGTGCTCAAAAACAGTCATGTAGACACTCCCAGGAGATGCGTAGATTTTTTTAATGTCTTCTGTAAATGAGGAAGCCCTGTAGCACCAAAATGATAGTATTTGAGGTTGCTTCTCAAAACCAATTGGCTTTTTGGTAGGTAGTGCTGGGAAAGACTAATGAATAAACTGCTATTTCATGATACTCCTGGGAGAAGTGAAGTGTCTGTCAGCAGACTCTCAAATACTTAAGGAACACTCGACTTCTAGGCTTTCTTGGCATATTGGCTTCTTCAATGTCTCAAATCAGAAGGTACCTTTTAAGGTATATGTGGAGATACACCTGTGAAAGTACTGAAAGTACTGAAGTACTGGGTTGCAGTATTCTGGATTAGCTCATAAACTTTACATGCTCTCAGTGCAGTTTACATGTGCTCTTGAGCTGTGAACAACTCACTAACTCAGGCTCAGGGTGCAAAGTGTCATTCTGTTTTATTGATTTGGGAACCCTTGAAGTGAAATGCGGTACATTGTGATGTTGGTTTCCAGCATCCTTCCATGTACTTGTGGACACTTCTTGCTTGTTTGGATTCCTGTTTATCTTTTCTCATTATCTCTGTTTTGTCACCATATAAAAAATACCAGTACAGCGTTTTGATAGAGGTGCTGCTGGAGGTCCTTGGTATTAATTTTTGAACCCTTGGGTGCTGAGAGTTGCGTTCTTTGAAAAACCCAGTTCCTGTTTCAAGTTTCAAATGCCTGGCATACAGTGTAATATTCATCTGACCTTTTAATGTTTGGGGATTTTTACAATCTCTACACCCCCTTCCTGTTTCCAGCCTTCTTTTTGGCCTTTTCAAGACTTGGGTGTACACTAACTATTCTACTTCTCAGGAATGATGTTACATGAGTTTCTGCTAGACATTTACAGGAATTCTACCAGCAATGTGCAATGCCTGAGACAAGAACCCATAGAAACACCTGCTGAATGTGATCCATGCAGATATGCAGGTGACATTTAAAGGGCTGGGGCCAGGTTCTGAGCTACCTGAGGTAACTAGTCAGGTAGGCATCTAGTCAGCCTCTGAGAATGGTGCGTTTTGAACGATCTGAAATATGAGTGTCACTTTGGGGCTATAAGATGTGCTTCTAATTGCTAGAAAATATAGGGTGTTGATTCTTTTTCTGTAGGTCTTGAGAGCCACTGTTAAAGCTTAGCATCTGCCCTCCTTTATTTTTCTTTTCCTTTTTTTTTTTCTTTTTTCTTTTTTTCCCCTTCCTCACTGGTGGTTGGGTTGGGATACTGCTTTCTTTAGCTAGCCTAGACTAAGCTTCTTCTTGATGATAAACAAGTATGATTATGTCTATCAGCACATACATTGCCTGTCTCAGGTGCAAATGCAATTTTGAATGTGATGGTTGTTCCACCTATCTTCGCTCCTGCAGGTCACTTAGCTTAAAAAATGGTGCATTTCAGCATATAACATAAAATGTAAGGGGGAGGGCAATCATTCATTTAGCCCAGCAAGAATAGAGATAGCTGAAGACCAATTTTAGCTGTAAATCCTGTATCTTTTCCTCCTGTAATGTTTGCAGGTAAAGATGTAAACAAAATGTTGACCTGTCACGTTTGCGCATATTGGTGTGCTTTGTACTTCTCATGATATAAGTACAGTTGGGTCCTTGTTGGGAAAACTGCTTCTGATTGAAACTGAAAATGAGAGCAAGTCCTATGCTGAAACTAGTCAGGTTCAGTTCAGGCTATGTCATTTTAACTTCCTTTAATGTCTGAGGAAGCTCTGTGAGTTATAACTATCAAATCTGGGAGAAGTCGTTCTGGTTTGGGGAGAACTGGGAGATACTCTTTTTGTATCTGACTGGCAAGTCGAAGGAGACTTTGCTGTGCTACAGAACAAAAATAATAATGATCATGTCATCTGTAGTCTGAAGGGAGTTTTCTTCTATGATGAGGTCTCAGCAGCTTGTTAGGCAGTTAGCTTTTTGGGGAGATGGAATAAGTATATTCTTTAATAAAGAACTTGATTTGAAACTTCTTGGCACAGTATGTACTACAATTCTAAGTGGGCATCTATTTCGTAACTGACTCTTGCTATGTTGTTAGATATTATCCCAGCCAGAAGAAAACTTACCTAATGTCTTCTCAGAACTACTTACTGTATCTTCTTTTCTGAAAGCTCACAGGTTTATGCTGATAATTTTGGCATATTCAGAAAGATCTAAAAGATTGCTTAGTCATTATATTACAAGGAAGTTTTTTCAGATGGAGAATGCAGAGATGATGTGTAAAAGCATGGCATACTGATAACCTGCATTACTGCTGTTAGGAGGTCTGTCTTTATTGTATCAGGAGCATAAAAACAGCATTTTACTTCTAATGAAGAAAACGGAATCCTCATCATTATTAGTTATTTCTGATTAAACTCTTACTATTTTACAAGGTGAAATAAAATTGGGGTATGCAACGCTTAAGGTATTTTGTTTCCTTAATACAAGTTGCATAGAAGAAGCAAATCTTATTTGGTCATCTGAAGAGAAGTTACTTCCAACATTCAGCGTTCTAAGATGAGGATAAGCCAAGTGATACGGTAATTTAAAAAACAGGGTATCAGTAAGGGAGTTGATAAGGTTTCCTTCCACCAACTTCAAGAATTTATTTCCCCTTCTTTACTTTTGTCATCAAATACAAACTTCATTTGGTAAGAGGAAATAAATCAGCGTGGTAACTTCAAGCATCAAGTAATGCGACTTAGTCTTATGGATTTAATCAGAAGCTGTTAGCTTGTCTTATGCTGTGTAAGCCAAAGGTGTGAGTCATAAAAGAAGCTGCAGAAAATTTTCTCATGACCCTAGAAAATTTTTATCTTTGTGAAGAGTCCCCTGGGGTCTATCATACACTTAAAAGTACACAAACCCCACCTCCACCCCAAAGCGGAGCATATATGGGTATGTGCTCAGTCAAAGGCAATTTACAGAGATTCAACATAATCTCTAATTAAGTTCTGCTTTCTCTTGATGGTTTTGCAGCTCAAAAACAGAGCTCCTGCGTCTTGCAGTCATATAGGTTTTTTCTGTAACCAGTTTTTTCCTGTTGAACATATCAAGGATGGTTTTTTCTTAAATCTCAGGCTTTGGGACGAAGGCAGAATTCTCTGCTAATGTACAGGGGTTTATTTTCATATTTTATCTACCCATGATTTTCAGCTACCTGTTTCGTGTAGCCAATATTTTAGGGAAAAATTCTTACGATCACACTAACTTGTGGAACTTAGTCTTCCACAGATGTAGTATCTATGCTGTGTGTTACTATTTATAGATACTTCTTGAGTAGTCATTAAGAGGTGTGGTTTATATGAATGCAAATGTTAAGTTTGCAGTCTACATAAATCCATATAGTGGATTTGTCAATATAATAAGGCTTTGGGTTAGGCAAAAGTTGATTTGAAATCACTTTTCAAGATAGTTGCGGTTTTTTTCTGTTTTGAGATTTCTTAAGTCTTTTCAGTTGCACTGTCTAATTGTTTGCTCCCTATTTAAAAAATTTAGTGTAGTATGTGTGGTTGTAGAGGGCTTAAATTTAAAATCACACACACATCCCCCCCAACCCAGCTACAAAAGCCAGAACTGTGCATAGATCCCTTGATACCAGTGTTGACTAGGAAGCTTACAACATCCAGTTTATTTAATGGGGTTTTTTGCACATGCACTTTTAATGATAGTAAATTTAGTAGGAAAGTAAGGACAGTAACACTTTTATTACACTAGTTCTTTAGCTGCTTTGTTCCAAATGATAGACATTGAAAACAGTGAAATATTATTCTGTGTTGGTTAATCTTATTAGAGATTTGTTTTATAAATAAATTGTGCTGCTCTGCAGAATGGAGGGTTTTAACATTACAAGAGGTATGCTTGGCTTTACCTTGCCTCTACCATTACCTCAGGACATGAGGGTCTGTGATTTGAGTACGTAATGGTCAGTTTCTTTATGCTAGGAGTGAAATATTTGTATGGCTAGCGAAAGAATTCTGTGCTGCAAGTAACTGTGAGGAAGAATTGAGAATGAATAACAGCGGACTGGAATAGTTTTATTCTTTATTTCAGATTTCGACCTATTAAAGGAAGGCAAGAAGAACTAAAAGAGGTGATTGAACGTTTTAAGAAAGATGAGCACTTAGAAAAAGCCTTCAAGTCCTTGACGTCAGGTGACTGGGCCCGGCACTATTTTCTTAACAAGAACAAAATGCAGGAAAGGTTGTTCAAGGAACATGTAGGTGTACTTGTAATTAATGTGCTTTTTCAGATGATTGAAAGGCTAAGAAAATGTAAAAATTTCTTAGGAATGTAGCAGTAGTAAAGGAAAGTAATCCCCTGCGCTGTTATATGTTATTTGTTTGATTGCTTTTTAACAGAAACTTTCTTTGTTTTTTTAAAACCCGGCTAGCTCCGCCCCCCCCAGCCTTTTTTTTGAGTTAACTTACCATTGCCTTTTATTTAATAGACATGTAGAAAGGCAAACACATTTGCCTCTTTTGCTGTTGGCTTAAGTCATAAGCAGAAGAGAGAAGACCTACTTCTGGGAGACAAGAGTTTTGAGGACTACTTTCATTCTTTGGAAGGGTTCCCCCCCCTTTTTTGTTTGTTTTTGTGGTGGTGTTGGTTTTTTGTGTTTGGTTCCCCCCCCCCATTGGAACTATTGTGAATCAAATTGTGTGACAAAGAAAAGTAAAGGAAAAGGGAGAAGCCTTGCTACCTCAAAAAATTGTTTTGGGTATAGCGGCTTTATATGGGAGTGTTATTCCTCTTCCTCCACTTCCCACATCCCAAATCCATTTTGTATATAGCATAAAGGTTGTTGACTCTCAAAGTTGCCAGGAAGTCAGTATTTTTTTACTTTAAAAAAAAAAAACAACAAACAACCCACAAAAAAAACCCCACCACCAAAAAACTCCTTCAGGAATGAGTGCATTGTTTTCAGATACAATCAAAGGGAATTTGGCCTACTTTAAAATGCATCAAATCTAGCAGTGTAGAAAAAAGTAGGTAGCAAATTCTGCTCTCCCAAAGTGTTTTTTTGAGTAATACAACCGGACTTTAACTAAAAAGAATTGATCCAGCAATCCCTGAATTCAGTATCTAGATTTGTCATGGAAGCAGTATCTTTTTCAGAACTGGAAAGAATAAAATTGAATCCTGTAGATTGTTAGGTCTCAGTGGTTCTTAAAGATCTGAGAAGAATTCTTGAATGCAACTACTCAGTGACTTTAAGAAGAAATTATCCATTTTCATTGGTTGGGCCAACTTTGTACCATTCAAGGCATCTTTAAATTTTTTAAACTCTTTAGATAGTCATGTTATCCATGTGAGGATTCCTGCAAATCACTCTGAAGAAATAAGATTAACATAATATGTATAGCTAGAATTTGTAATCAGAAATGCATTTCAGCAAACAACATCCCATTGCAATATCCATTTTTTGTGTATGTTCTTGTGCAGTTCACTGATTTTCATTATTTTTATATAAAGTTTCACTGCTTTTGTTTTGCTTATAACAGAAAAGTACTGTTTTCTTTCATTGCAGGTATTTATTTATTTACGAATGTTTGCAACTGACAGTGGGTTTGAGATACTGCCTTGTAATCGGTATTCTTCTGAGCAGAATGGAGCCAAAATTGTTGCAACAAAAGAATGGTAAGAAATACAGTTTACTGTTGCATTCCATTTCTGTCAATTACTTTGAAAGATTCTAAAAAACGATATGGAAAAAGTATGATTTAGAATTAAAACTGCAACCAGTGAAATACAAAGTTTTGTATTTTTGCTTACAAATTAAATTTGGTGTCTGTTTTTGCTAAGTACTTAATACACAATACATGCATCTGTAAGACATTCCTTTTTATATTTGGACATAGCCATACAGGTTTTGGTATACAAGTTGTTTTATCTTGTTTTCAGTCAGATAATTATTTTCCTCTAATTGTAAGTTGTTGGCCTCCTGTGAGAAACACAACTGTGTCAAGACTACATTATGCCAGATTTGTTATACAACAAATAATTGTGGGGGAAAGGAGTTTTTCACTTTTGTGAAACTGAGGGGTGTTATTTGCGTATTTTGATTGTGCCAGATAAATCTCTTCTGGAAACACAAAATTGGCACCCCAGTGTATTTTCCCATCTTATTTTGGCACATCTGAGTTTCATTATAAGCTTTCATATACTTCATAAGTTTCATATATGTATTTTCATATATAATGTCTGTGGCAGCACCAGCAGGTTCCTGGATTAATTCAGATTTTACAATAAATTTTCTCCCTTCCTTCCCCCTTCCCTCCCCCCCAATTTATATTTGTTTTGCTTTGTGGCAGTACATACTCACAACAGCACATCTGAGATGATGGTATGCTATTATGTGTGGGCTAGGAGTAAGAGGCTAGACATTACGCTGGTAGCGTACCAAGTAAGCGTGCTGTTGCTGTGGGGCTACAGCTTCAACGTGTGGGAGAGTAAGCTTTAAGAAGGTTGAACTGTAGCTGGAAGTTCCACAATCATGATATAATCAGTATTTTGGGGGTTGTTTTTTTTCAGTTTGAATTTTCCCCTTGGCTGATTCTTTGGTATTGTATTTAGGTGTGTTGAAAATGAATTAACTTTTCATGCTCAAAATCTTGAGTGACCTGAGAGAGAGCAAAACAGGAGGCCTGCTTCTTAACCCTGCCAATACCTGGAAAGCTATTGAGACTTAAAACTGATACAGTTCTCAGCACTCTCTGTAAGAGTTTTGCACTTAAAAGGCTTGGCTTCTAGTTTGTGTCCTTCGTGTATATTTAGTATCTCCATCTGGCCAAAATTTAGAATGGTCACTCTAAAGAGCAGTGCAAACAATGCCCTTGCAAGATAATGGAAATTGCGTGCTTCTTCCTGGGCTGAGTATTCAGTGCCTCTGATCTGCTATATGTATGGTGGCAGATTGGCTGTCTGCACATGAAGGCATCATGGTTTTGTTGGTTGTGTCCACGCCCCCCACCCCCAGTGGTCTATTTCATGACCAGCTTGATGCTGAAGAACTACTTGTGAGAGAGGAAAACATCTTGCATGAATTCTGGCTGGTTTTTGAGTCAATACTGGGCCTTTTTTAAGAAGCCGTGGAGTTCTAAGCATCTTCACTATGCTGTGTTTTCTTGGCCAAAAGAAGTAGTATAGGAAATGCAAACAAGAGCAGCTAGAGGAAGTCAAAATGTCTTAAGTGGTGGAGGGGAGGGAGTGTGCACAAAATGAAAAAAAATCTTGCTTTTGGTTTTAACAACTGTAGAAGCTGAAGTAATCAACTCTTCCAATTTCTTGCTTGCAGTCTCAGGAAATTGTAGAAACAATGGTGGTAATGTCTGTCAGAATTGATGTAATTGATTCTATATAGTAGCATAAAAACATTTATTTCATGTCTGATAAAAAGTCTATTTAGCCTTATATCCTGTCTCTAACTGAATTAAAATACGAGGTTTATAGGGGTTGAGAAATGGTTTACAAAACACTTCCTGTTATTGACAACTTCTCTTTTTGTGAAATTACTTTGTAATTTTGGCATATGTATTCCTATTTCTGCTACTCCTTTTACACTAAAGGAAACGAAATGATAAAATAGAATTACTTGTGGGCTGTATTGCTGAACTATCAGAAATGGAAGAAAACATGCTGCTGAGACATGGGGAAAATGACTTCAGTGTTATGTATTCCACACGGAAAAACTGTGCGCAACTGTGGCTTGGTCCTGCTGCATTTATCAATCATGGTGAGTAGTAACTACAGGAAGCGTGTTAAAGGACATAAGCAATTCTACTCAGAAGTGTTGTGACATGTGAGCTGAACAACACAGGACCTTAGAGAAAATGTCTGAATATGTATTACTGTAGGACAAAATCCTGTTCGGATTTTCCCAGACCAGAGCTGATCGGCTGTGAACTGGGAAACTCACAGAAGGCTCTAGGAAGTGATGCCTTCTTCCTTCACAGAGACTTTGGACTGGCAGCTAAATTAGTGGAGCATATTGTGGGTTACCTTGAATTCTTTGTGAACTTAGTCAACAGTAATGTATTTCTTAGGTGAACTTATTATGCCTTCTTTAACCTTATGCACAGAAGCTTAACTGATTCTGTTGCATTTGTATGCTGAAGGAAAGGCAGGTAGGATTTAAGATAAATCCTATTACCTTAACAAGGAGGGAAACTGAACATTTGTGATAGCATAGGGAAGAGCTCAGAAACCAAACTATATCAAACTAGGTATCTTTTGATGTATAGCTTTGTGCATACTAACATAACTCCCAGTATTTAGTTGAGATTCTACAGTTACTGAGTCAGAGTGAATCCTTACTTTAGATATCTACAACTATTCATGTTTCAGGTCTTATCAACAGTTAATTGACTTTATCTTTTGGACCTTTTTCAGATTGCAGACCTAACTGTAAGGTAAGCAAGAAATTAAAAATAAATAAATAAAGCACCACACTTTTTTTTTCCCTTTGTCCCTGCACCTTTTCCTCCCCAACTGTTTCACTTTTTTTTTCTTATTCAGATACTGTTCAACCTTAATGATTAACCTTTTTTTTTTTCTTCTTTTCCTCCCCTCCCCTTCCTGTCGTCTCCTTCCCCAGTTTGTATCAACGGGCAGAGATACAGCATGTGTGAAAGCTCTAAGAGATATTGAACCTGGAGAAGAAATCTCTTGTTACTACGGAGATGGGTTTTTTGGAGAAAATAATGAATACTGCGAATGTTACACCTGTGAAAGGTATGATTGATGTAAATAAGTTTCAAATGGAATTGGGCATATTCATGATGTATTTTGTGAAACTGAAAGTCCTTGATAATGAGTATGCAGATTTTTGGACACGTTATAATTGCTTCCTAGCTATTTGTTGTAATGATTTTTGTGTGTTGTTACTGAATGGTCATGTTTCCTGAGAACTCCTGCATCCTATTTTTCTGTTGATCTCTGTTCTGGAGATAGCCCAAAATGAGAATAACAAACAAGAAGTGTAGATTCTTAAAAATATTTGTACTGAATAAAGTAGAATTGGAAGGAAAAGCAGTTGTAGCTTCTATGAGACCATTAGCAACTGGCCCCCAACTTTTGCTCTTTTTTGCACTAGAAAAAGCAAATTTTATTAATGTTTTCGATGTTGGCCTGAAGTTCTTTTCTGCTGCTAGGAATGGGCAAAGTAGCTTTCACCTTATGTTATTAGAACTTGGGGGTTTGTGTATTCGTAAAGATCTACTGGTTTGGACAGTACTTGCCTATCAGTCCATCGCACAATAGCAGCAAAGTTGTTGTTATATTTGTTTTTCACCTGTGCTGTCCCAACCTAGTTTCTTCACAAAATCAGTTGAAAGGATTTCATTGTTGGTTTTTGCCATGTTGAAACTTCTGCTTGCTGTGAGCATGGAGGCTCAACATCATTTGTGAGAGCTTCACCTAGTTCCAAGAGGAACTACACAGAACCTATAACAGTTCTGTTACTGTTTGACCTAACCATAGAGAGAAAAAAAAAAAATCTATAAACGACAAAATATTAATCATATTGAGAAATAGCTTAGCGCACCTACATATAAATAGTTTAATAATCCTACCTTCATTTTTACTATCTAGTTTGGTCACTAATAATTCTTGCAGTTCAAGGGAAAACTTGAAGCGAAGGGTATAGTCTCAGACTTTATCTAGAGAGCTGCTAGTAAAACTGTACTTCAGTTCTGGGAACTGTTTAGTATTGAATTAAATGGGTACCATGATTGTTCTTTCCTTGTTACTTGGAGTGATATGTTTCTTTGATTGTTGATTTTAATGTAATACAGACATACTTTCTCTTCCAGGACAAACCAATTTTGTGTCCGAACATTTTCACTAATTTGTCATCTTTGTATTTTAAGTACATGAAAATGTTACATTGTAAAGTTAACATTTGGGTAATTCTAACTTTAGGAATCTGCTTTTTAGTCACAAGGCTGTGTTACAGCAATCAAATATGAGAGATTTGAATTTAGGGGAGTTGAGAAAGGAAAAATGAGTCCTTACCAACACTGATGAGGCAACTGTCCTTTGTACACCACAAAAAAATCATTTTTAAGTGACCCAATTTTGACTATGCCGTAAAGGGTGTTAATTTGTAATGTTAAAATGCTAGACTTCTAAGAAGCTGTGGGGAGGTTGACACTGTATAATTTTTTTTCAAGCTTCCAAAATCATCACAAGAAAATTTGCATATCTTTACATGTGTGCATGTACTCTTTTTAGGTGAGCCTGCTGTTCATGCTAGCTAACTGAGACAACTGGGCACCAAAGACAACATGTCAGAAGATAGTTGTGGTTGTTTATAGCACTATTACTTTCTGACCTGAAGTGGCTGTTGCTTGTGCTAAGTTCAGTCTACGATCTTAAGCTGTCTGTAATTTGCAGAATTCAAGATAATACTGAAGGAATGTTCCATATCAAACAGTTAATTTGAGAACAAGTATTGTGTCTGCATAATAATTAGCCTTGTGAAGCTTGAGGTCCTGTCTGATCTTTTTGGTGCACTTTTGGTTAAGTTTTGTAGATTTTCTTCCAGTACAACACACTGGAATCAAAACTGAAGTTGTCTTCAGTAACTCTGTGAAATGCAAGCGTACTGGATTATTAAAGAGTATCAGAGGAATCCTAGTAGTGGTGGTTGAAGTGCAGGTACAGGAATTCTTAATCTTCATCCTTTTCTGTGATTACTTTAAAAGAAAAAGAAAAAAAGTTCTAGGTTTGCTCAGCCATTTCATGGTAAATACATACTGGAGTCTTTCAGTTACGAAGGAACACTATGTGTTAATA